ATGGCGAAGCGAGATGATTGGGTCTACGATGAACTACTGTGTTTCTTGGGAAATCCTTTCTTTCAAGTCCCAGTTTTAACTTTTATGGAATCAAAATGTTTAAGTGAGTATTTTTTCACGTTATTGGTGAATGTTTATTTTATATAAATGTGTACAAAGAGAAAGTTCATGTATGTCATTGCTATGCATGCCAATGCTCGACATCGATTTTTATTTTCACCTATTGCAATATCTCCACTAGATCTACTCTTAGTTTCTCACACCTTTGATTTTTTTCTGCGTGGATGGATTGTAAAAGAAGGCATCAGAATTTTACAAATGTTAATAATATGTTGACAGTTAGCTAGGGCGCAGATTTCTATTTAATTTTGCCTATTTTAGTTTGGTCTCATCAAACAGCATGTGACGTTTGCTACGTCTAGACTCTGACGTCACAAGACGTTGTATGTATGTTGCATTTATAATACTAAACCGAAGTCCGGTCAGTGGTAATTTTAATTTAGAACATTTAGCAGCTAATTATGTAATTTTTTCTCCGCTATTAGGGATTATTATTAATCTAGCTATTAGGGAAAACTACCATTTCTGGAGAAAATGGGAAAATCAGCTGGGGGTCTGGAGACCACCCCAGATCCCATGCGGTGCAGGGCAAGCACATTTGCGGGACCCAACTGAATTTCATCATGTAAATGACCATTTTGAGTGCATAAAATAGCATAGTAAAATATGAATTGATATATTCCATATCTTTTGAACAGTTTTTCTTTAAATTTCCACTTCTTATGAAGGAAACAAATGATTGCGCCCATGACAAAAGGGTCCTTATGGCATTTTTGCTAAAACAGAGAAATAACGTCATAAAGATGTGACGTTGCAGACTGACGGTGAACTTCGACGCAGATTTTTTTTACCACGTGTTTTGACGTTTGACGCATCCAGAATTTTTATCGCTGTTTCCAACATGTTTATTTTCATCGTTAAATTAATTGAATCAATATCTGAATCTTCTAATCCACCGATTATAATAGATATAAATAAAAACATTTAGAAATGGTTTCTTAACAAACATTATTACATATACGTCTCTATAATACCAATAGTTTTCCTACATGCGTAATTAAATGTATAGAAGCTGTAGACAAGGTGTTTTCTGATAGCATATTGAACCTTTATACTCTAGATAAATTTTATTTACATATTTATACCATTTTTAGAATTCATCTTAGACAGGGTATATCTTAAAAAATATTGCAAAGGAAAATTGTCTTCCTAGTTCTTTGAGATCCGCTCCACCACTTTCAAATATACATCGCGATCGCGTCGATCACATGTAAACATTGATTCATCGGTGCATACTGCTTAAACTGTTGTTAAATTGTTTGTACAAATGTTGAAATTAAACATACATCTTTTTTACAAATCTAGCAAGAATGTGTAAGAACGATAGTCAAGATTATTTGTATTTTCTATAAATAAAAATAGGAGAGATAACTCTGATGTCAACAATCGATGTAACAGGGGTACCAGGCAGGGACATTCATTATTTTAACTGCGTACTTTTTCACATTTCAGCTGCATGTTCGCATGAAATTTCTCCCGGATTATAAAAGAGATATTTTATGACCAAATAAAAAAAAAAACTTTTAATCGTCATCATAATCATGCATTTTTAAATAAAAAAATATTGTTGTACTTTGGGAATAAGGTTAATGTAGAAAAAGGAAAAACAAAGAAGAAGAAAAAAAAAAGAAAACTGCAAAATTGAACAGACTTTAATTTTTTTTTCAAATCTCTTATCTATAGCTTTTTTTTTTTTTTTTTTTTTTGTTTGCATGAAATAATTTCATGACGAATTTCATTTCTAAAAAAATAATAAACACGTAAAGCGTCTACCTTATAATCATGATTAAATAAATTAAAATTTAAAAATGTTGTTTTGTCTTATATTCTTGTTGCACAAAGACACTTCAATTTAGAGAAATTAAAACAAGCAAAAAACATCCGAATGAAAAAAAATGTTCTTAATGTTCTAACTTAAATAGAGCTGGTCAAGTAAATCTGAGGAGAGAGAGAGAGAGAGGATGTAGGGTATATAGATAAAAATATTTATATTGAATCTATTTATCTAATATTGAGAAATGTGAAACTCTATTGAAACAGATGAGTTTTCAAAACAAATGAAATAATAAATGAAAGAAAATATCAATTTTGTTCTCTAAACTATATATACATGTATAGCTATTTATTTTCAAGATCTCGAAGTTTAATATACATGTAACTCTTTGGTACTTACGTGTTGTTGTTGTTTTTGTTTTTTTTCATACGGAGTTCAAATGTTTTAAGCATTATCTGCAAATTAATTCTTTAAGCCATGCCAAACTTTGTCTTTCATAAAAGCTCGATCAGCATTGAATGTCTCTTAACAGATCAATTATCATGCTAAAAACTCAATCATCACTGAACTTCTCATTGCAGTTATCAGTGTGGAATAATATATTGTTTAACCTGCCATCAAATTATGGATAAATATTATTAGATATGCTCAAAAAATATTTATTTGTTTTGGTATAAAAAAATCTTTATAAGTTCAGGGTCGGGTTTTATTTCTACATGTAATTGCTAACAGAAAATAAAATTCAATGCTGAAAATACATGACATATAACGGCAACAATATGCTTGCATTTTGTTTTATTTTGGCTGCAGTGCAGGGGATTGAGGTGGTGGGGGGGGGGGGGGGTGCTTAATATATATTTCCGTAACATGTAGGCTTTACAAGACTTAGCATATACAAGCTTCTGGCACCAGGCACGTAGCATCGTTTTTGAAAGTGGGGGGGGGGGGGGCAACCAGAGTACCTTAAAAAGTTGACAAGCAAAAAAAAAAAAAAAAAAGGTTAATGTTGCACAAAGTCGAAAATCCTATTTCGTGGGGAGGGGGGGGGGGGGGGTAGAGGCCAATTTTTTTCAGTACCAATTTTTATACTATGTTTTCCGTACATCACAATAGTGGGAGGGGGGGGGGCAACCAGACTTTCAATTATCAATTCCTATAGTATAAGTAAGGTTGGGGAAAAAAGTGAAGTTCAAGCCCCCCCCCCCCCCCCTGTTGCTACGTCCCTGGGCACGGGACCAGAATGGAATTCATACTCTTTAAAACTCACTTTCTAGAATAAAATTAGAAACAACATTAGAATGAAGGGGATTTTTTTTTTAATTAGGTCATAAATAATATGATGATTTTCTAAGATGTTTACATCCCTACAAAAATCTGACATTTCAAAGCTCAGCCAGTTCAGGAAATATATTATACAAAACAGTCATATTCAACTGACTGTATATTTAGGCATAAACAATTACATGTTATTAATCTTTAACCCACCCCTACCCTAACAAAAGCTATACATATAAACCGTAAATGGCATCTTTGATTTAATTCTATGGGTGTGCTTCTAAAACCATCCATTTCATAAAATAAAACCAGATTTTTTAATTTTAGGGTATCATTATGTGTACATGATTAACAATACTGAATTCATAGCAATTCAGTTCCAGGCTCATAGTATTTATGATCGCTGTGCGATTTTGAAAATGGCAATGCTCAGAATTAAAGGTACAAATATAAAATGAAGAATAATAGGCAGCATTATTTCAAACCTAAATAAAAAAGTAAATCTGCAAGTTGTAGGGTTAATGGTACTGGGTGCACCTAAAACTTTTGAAGTAAATAAAATATTTTTTTATTTATTTTAACTCGTGTTCACAAGAATTGTAAGTTTCTGCCATTTAGATTTTTTAACCCTCCCCCCACCCCCACCCCCACCCCCCTTCACCAACATACACATAATCCTACAAATGTTAATCCTGGGTTTATCTATTGTGTAAATGTTTGCGGATTATAACTCATTCATTTGTTTGTAAAATTTCCACCTTTTGATTGGTTAATATTAAAATATTTTTACTGCTAAACTGAAAAATATTTCGTGTATCCTTTATATTTTCAAAAATGCAGTGTCATTATTGACCCAATGCAGACAGACAACCTTATAGATGCAGCGAATCAACCGAATTTCCTTTTATTTACTGTCTATTGTGTATCGTAAATTTTACATGTTACATGTACCACACTTCACAATTTTTAGAAAGAAAGAACAATCAAATAAATTTTCACTTCGCAGTAGCATTTAGGTAGCGTAATGTTGTTATTAAAAAAAATAATAATTTTCACATCTATGGTAACTAAAGATATATCGTTTATGCTGAAATCTTGAGCTATCGAGAGCAATGTTTAAATTAAAATAATTTTCAAACGAATTCTACAGGCTTATCAAATGACTCTTGCATGGATTACCAGTTAATATTTTGTTTGAGAAAATAATTGTTTAAAAAAAAAAAACAAAAAAAAAAAATGAATGGATGTTGCCCGCTGTTCAGGTTTCCCCCTGGTGTCATAGAAAAGTGAAATGTAAAACAAACACTCACTCATAATACTATACACCACTGATGAATCCATAATATATATAACTATTAAATAATTATTAATAATTAAAAGAGACAATGAGATAAAAATAAGGTGCATGGAAAAATATCAAATATTATACAACTATTAATCACCGTAGTAAAATTACAGAGGAAAATCATTTAACGTTCACTCTGAAAACGTTTGACGTTGTTGAAAAGCATGACGTCATTATTAACCTGTTAAAGTATATTTGATAAAAATGAAGAAAAAACCTACTTAGAGTAGAGGTAGGACCATAAAAATTCATATTTGACAACTTGTAACCTTACTCTATCAGAATCCGTGAAAAACTCAAAATGCATAAAAATTGCCATATGGACCCTTTTCACATGGGCGCAATCAAATTATTTCAGCTTTTTATCATTGTCAGGGGAATTTTTTACTCATTGAAAGGGGAAAATTAGATATTTAAGGGAAATTTTCTCTTGGGGAAAAATACCGAATATGGGTAAGTTTTAGTAAGTCCCTGTTTTGATACATCCATAAATTCAAAATAAGTTTATTTTTTTCTTAGAAGTTCTTGTTTCTGCAAAAAAAGTAGTTTGCAGTGAAATGCATTTCTTTAAGGGTTATGGAACCACAGGTAACGGGGGGGGGGGGGGGGGGAATTATTGAAGAGCTTGGAGTGATGAGCATTGCTTCGTAACGTTCGCTGCACTGGCTACTAATATACTAAATAAATGTCATCTTATATTTCTTAGGTCTTCTGTACAAGAATTACAGAGTATCATGATAATATGTCTTTAGAGAAGACCTATAATAAGATAAATTTAAAAATTGTATATTAATTAAGTCTAAAAAGGTCTGAAGATATATAATTTGGACTCTAATTATCCATGGCAGATACATATATAACATGAGAAGGCATAGTCAGAACAATGAGACTAACAGTTAAAATATGTCTTATATAGTTGTAATATAGGAAAGAAATCAGAGTACATGTAGATACACTCTGAAATGATTTTGAAGAATATAAAAGGAGTTGCACTGAAAATAACTGAAAAATTTTCTCAAAATTTTTCCCAGGAGCTGTTGTTTCCTTGAAAAAGCTCAAAGTTGCAAGATAATGATATGCCCGGACTTATATTGATTTAGCAAGTGAAATGAAAAGCAGTTGCTATTTTTTATCTAAGATTTTCATAATCCTTTTATCACTTGTGATGTTGGGTTCAAGCTTATATAAGTATATGAAGCTGTTCAATTTCAGTTTTTGATCCAAGTATTGAAGACAGTGAGGAATACAAGAAAGTTCACCAGGAATACAAAGCTATTGTAAGTTTTATTTGCGAAATAAGGAAGGGCAAAATGAGTTCTTGTCGTTCTTTTCCATAGACTTAGGTCTGGAGACTTCTACTGATTCTAGGGAAAACTTCAGATTTTAAATTCTTTGTCTAAATAGATTCAGAAGTTGCTGGACGCCTTCATAAAAGATACAGGTATAAGCCATGACCAGGTCATTAAAGCTGTCCAAGACATGAACAGGAGAAAGGAAATCAAAGAAATGTTCCAGGTAAGTATTTATAGATAGTGCATTAACTCAGGTTTTGAAAGTAAAATCCCAAGAAGAAGCCCCCCCCCCCCTCCTCACCTTTCTCTAAAAAGTTTTGAAAATTGTTTGATTGTCATTTCAGAACAAGTTTTTCTTACACCTTTTAGGGATTGTCATGATATTTTCTTGCAAAATTCAGATTGAAGTATTATTAATAGAATACATGTACTAGTTCAAAGTCCTGTAGTGAAGTTATTTCGCAACCATAATTTATTCCTGGTTGAGCAATTGCGCTGTGTCAACCTATTTCCTTAATCACATTTATTGATTAATTATCTGACAAAAAAATCAGGGCAGTATTACTGCTGATTTCATGGAAGAGAAAAAGTGTAGATCTAAATATAAAGAGATGATCAACACATTATCCAAGCAGTTTTAATTTTAATATCTTATTTCCCATAAACTGTTTTAGTTTGCATGCATTCTAACATTTAAATTAGAATATACTGTAGAAGTGGAAATTTTAGCAGGACACAGATTTAGCTATTTCTCCTTAAAAATTGGTATTTTATTTTTAGCAAGAATCAGTTTTAGTGATTTTAAAATGCTCACTAAAGAAGCTATTAAAAATAAAACGCAATTAATTTTTAGCGATATTCAATTTTGGCGATCTCAGCATTCTCGCTAATAATGCCAAAATTAAATCCTCGCTAAAATTTCCACTTATACGGTAATTATAATTTATTTTCATTGAAATTTCCAATTTATTAAGATATATTGAAAAATTTTAAACAAATATATGGTACCCAGGGTTAGCATAGAATTATATGCATGCATTGTAATTCTCTCAAGGTAAATTTTGTGTATTGAATTTGAAAAGCAGAAAACAAAATAGAAGGATTCTGATATCTATAGAAATAACAGGAGATCCAGTATTTCATGTTCAATTAAAGCTAGTTGGATTTTGTAATTTTTACTATCCTGCTAAGTGCAGAGTCAGCTTGGTAAAATGAAATTTTATTCCTCATTTCATGGCCACCTGATGACTAGTTCTGTTACAAATTTAGCCGCTTCACTGCCTCTAGTGATACTGACAAAGACAGTTTATATTGATTTCTGAAGTAATCAAACTCAGTAGTATATTCATGAATACCAGAATATAAATTAATCTTAAATTGTACATGATGTGAATACTTCAAATTATCTGGGGCAACTTAAAATTTTTCATGATAGTCATTAAAGGTGGCCCTTGCTATCTATTCATATTCTCTCTCTCTGTATTTTCATTAAATCAATATCCTATTTAATAAACAGGGAGAAATGGAGTACTGGCGAGTAAGTGGGGCACTTGTGTTGAAGACTATTACACTATATAAAGATTGTAATTTTTATGGAAATGAATTTAAAATAAAAAATAAGCTCAAATGCATATTTTTATTTTTTCGTCACTGATTTATTTTGATTGACCTCTTCTCACCACCTTAAAACCAATTTTTTTCTTTGTATGCAACATTCTAATCCCCACACATTTAAAAAGTTTGAGTTTGATTAAAAATGAATGTCATACAATTCGAGTCTGATTTGAAATGATGCCATACATGGATTCCACTTTTTACGATTGCATTGAAATTTACACCTAGACTCCCCCTTAAGAAAAATAAGATGTGGGGTATCACCATGTCCATTTGTCAAATTGATATCTATCAACAATTGTAAAATAGATCTAAGATACATAAAAAAAATGAATGGCTTAGATTCAATACTGTTGACTGAATTACTGTATATAAAAATGATATCTGTTTTACAGAGCCTGTTTGAGCAGTTCTTTGCTGCTGAGGACTACACCATTTTTGTTCGACTGATGGTTCAGAAAAACATTGAGTTACAACAGCAGGCTCTAGCCATGATCATGCAGATGCAGGGGGCTCTCCCTGAAAGCCTGAGTGAGGGGACATCAAAACCCTCTACATCCGCACCCCCTGCCCCCTCCAATGAGCAGTACGGGGCACAGAATGAGGAAGAAATCCTGAAAGCTGTTTTAGAGTAAGGCATAATGCTTCATTTTATAATCCAGTAAATTGTAACAAAAATATATTTAAAAAAAAATTTAAAAAATCATCTGAAAAGAAATTAAAGTAGCTAATGGTACTAAAAGTTCATAATGTTATGATATTTTCTGAGGAAATATATTGTCATTAAAAAGTGATTTTTGCAGTCCAATAAGCATTTTTTTCTTATATATATTAGACAGTCCAAAAGGGAATATGAGGAAGAACAGAAGAAGAAAAAGACAGTGGAAGAAGAGGAGATGAAGAAGGAGATGGAGAGTCTGATAACGATCTCCAAGGTCGAACATTCCAGACTGGAGGAGGAGAAAAGTAAAGAGAAAACCAAACTAGACCAGGTCAGCAGGAGATGACAGTGTAGTTTTTTTTTCCTTCAGTCTATTGGCATTGCTCTTTAGCTCAGATTAACTATCAGTGTATGTCAGAGAAAGCTGATGCTACATACCTGACTCTGGTCATTGCTTGCACATTTTTAAATAATTTGTTTTAAATGTTTCCACTTTGATACAATTTTCCATTTAATCGGTCAGAACTAGGTCATCTTGTAGTTATCCAATTAGTAATTCATGTATTTGATTGCCATCCACAGTCAATCTGCATATACATGTATATTAGAAGATTTGTATTCACTGCATTATAGGCTTTGTTTGGGATGACATTAAATGAATCGGCTCCACAAACCAGTGCATCTAGTAAACCACCAGCAGGAAACACCAAACCACCACCAAAACCACAAACAGACCTCAAGTCAGCGGTAAGTTTTACATCACTAATAAACCACCACCACCAAAACCACAAACAGACCTCAAGTCACTGGTAAGTATTACATCACTAATAAACCACCACCACCAAAACCACAAACAGACCTCAAGTCAGCGGTAAGTATTACATCACTAATAAACCACCACCACCAAAACCACAAACAGACCTCAAGTCAGCAGTAAGTATTACATCACTAATAAACCACCACCACCAAAACCACAAACAGACCTCAAGTCAGCAGTAAGTATTACATCACTAATAAACCACCACCACCAAAACCACAAACAGACCTCAAGTCAGTGGTAAGTTTTACATTACTAATAAATAAAGGAGACTAAACCACCACCAAAACCACAAACAGGCCGCAAGTCAGCGGTAAGTCATCACATCACTAATAAACAAAATAGACAAAACAACCACCACCAAAACAATAAACAGACCTCAAGTCAGCAGAAAGTTTTACATCACTAAAAAACAAAATAGACAAAACCACCACCACCAAAACCACAAACAGACCTAAAGTCAGCGGTAAGTATTGCATTACTTATAAATAAAGGAGACTAAACCACCACCAAAACCACAAACAGACCTCAAGTCTGCGGTAAGTTTTACATCACTAATAAACCACCACCACCAAAACCACAAACAGACCTCAAGTCAGTGGTAAGTATTACATCTATTCACTAATAAACAAAATAGACAAAACCACAACATGTACATCTCAACATGGTCAAGTCAGCAGTAAGTACATGTATTACATCAGGAATCAATAAACAATTACCAGCAAAACCTCCGACAGATCCAGTGGTAAGTATAAATCACAAATGAAAGCTGAAACAAGAAACAACTTCTAGCAATACCCCAGAACAGGTTTCAAGTCAGCAGTACAGGTATGTAAAAAATATCACTTTAGCTTGTAAATGAAACACTTTAAGTCTATTTGCACAAACACATATATTTTTCAAGTCAGCACTTACTGGTGCAAACTTGAAAGTTTTACAAAATCAAGATAGCAAACTACAGGTGCAAGCAGGAAATAATGTGGAAACATGAAAACCTAAAACAAAACTATGTATGATCTGATAAAATAATTATTATGAAATAAATGTCAAGTTGGAGTGGGAATATTTTCCAATCAAAGGAGCTAATGAAATGGTCATGATGCCTGTGTGAATTTTTTCCATCCTATACTTTTCAGTATCTACTACTAACTAGTAATGGTTACCCAGTCAGTGAATGCTTAGTAATCCAATTCTGGAGAATCTTTATCACTTTATTATCACCTCTGACTGTCAGATTATGTTCCCCATTTTCCTCAATGTATTGATGCATTTGTGGGATTTTTAACTTGGATTTGCAGGAAGCAAAGAAACAGGTCTGCTTAATATGTTAATCTGTCATAGATCACAAAGCTGTGAATTAGCTAGGTAATGTACCCTATTAGGTATTTCATGTATTGTTCTGCACATAATTTGTAATTGTAGAAGGGAGGTTGTTTGCCTGCATGTTTGTTTCAGCATCAAAACTATAAACATATGGTTAGGTCATGCATTATGTTTAAAAATTGTCAGGTATTGTTGAAGTACAAGCACACTGACACAGAATGAACGAAACATATCATAATAAATGTTAAGCATTTTGAGAATTTAACTCTTGGGTGGGTGTACTTAGTGAACACAGAAAATAACTCATTCTTCCTGTTGATATTGAGATTTTAATGTTTTTTCCTTTGATTGATGATGAAGTAAATTTTCAAATCTTTCTTTCAATTTTTTTAAGCCTTTTTTAAAGATTATCTGTATCATTTTTTATGCAATCCAATTGAGAAGACTCCTAGTGCAAAATGATCAAAAATCAAACTTGCTTACCTTTTAATGTATATTATTAGCTCATCTTAGTTGAAGCTAAATTAAGCTTTTCTGATCCCCCATAGCCAAGTGTCTGTCTAACTGTCAAGTTGCTTGTTCAGCTGCTTTAAGCTCTCCATCCATAAACTCTTCACTATTTTTCTTCTTTAGAACAACTTGTCCAATTGTAATTTGTTGGTACAAGTCTTCGTTATAAGTTGTTCAAATAACAGAACAAGCTCCCTTTCAAGGGGAGATAATCAACAAAAGGCAAAAATATGGTTGAGTCATTTGTACCTCTTGTTTAATGAATTTGACATTTATTTAGTTGATCTGTTTGTCTTGCAAACTATAAAGAAAAGGCATATTTCATTAATAGCTATTTATACCATATTTTTAGCCTAGTATATCAGTGACTCCTGCTGCTCCCCAAAGTGCCGCACCCCCTCCTAAACCAGCAGAACCTGTCCCTGCGGCTAGTGTCACTGCAGCCATCGCCTCCCAGAAACTACCAAGTGTCGGTCAACAGAAACCGCAGATGTCGAGTGCAGAGGCTGCAGCTAACTGGTTAAAACAGACAGATGACACGCCCACTTCAAACAAACCTTCCACTTCGGCTGTCCAGGCAGCTGCTGTGAGTACTGGGATCTGTAATTCTGCTTTGTGTATTTGTGTTAGCTAGGTTCTTCACTGGTTATATATTTTTTTTATTAAATTCAAAGTAATTTAGATACAAGGCCATTTGAATTGGAAAGGTAAGATTACTTGTGAAACATGCAAAATCTTGATCAAAATGACAGATACTGTAAAATTGCAACAAGAATTTGTCCATTTTTTCTATGTTTACTGTTTAGTGGAATTGCAGAAACGTTAAAAATAGCAAAAGATACACTAGATTAATTATCTAACTTTTCTGTATTTGAACAGCTTAAAATTCCAATCACAAGGCATTTGTGGAGAAAAAATTATACTTATACACATGAACTTAGATCTGTTTCAGTTAAGTAATAATTTTTTTTCATTTTGAAATACAGGCAGCCATGTCAAACATGAACTCAGAAGAACTAAAGAAGAGACAAGAATTTTTGAAGCAACAAAGAGACAAATTGCTAGAAATGAAGAAAAAGGAAAGAGAAAAGCAGTTATTAGCTGCAGAAAAGTCCCAACCAAAACGTCCCGTGTCTGCTCGCATGGCCAAATCAGCCATGGAAGATGGAGTGTCAGAAAAATCCAATAAACTTAGTCCCGAGGAGGAGAAAAAGATGGCCATGAGGAAAGCTATAGCTGATCGTCTGAAGGCAGAAATGCTGGGAAAATAGTGCATAATGATAACAGTGACCGATATGGTATCCACAAAACTTAAATCTGTATTACTGTATACAAGGGAATTTTTGCCCCCATTCTGTTTTCATCCCTTTTACTTTACTCGCAGGTGAGTGAATTTAAATGGGGCGAATTCAAAGAAAACAGTATGATTTCTTAAACATAACTTATTAAGCACATTTAAATTGGGGCAGAATTATTTGCAAGTGTGAATGGATGAAAATAACAGGGGGTGAAAGTAACCCTGTATACATGTATTACTGTAAGGTTTTTATGAATTTGAAGAAAAAAATTTACAATTTTGTGGTCCCAGATGTGAAAAGATTTGAATGATGAGTACATATCTAGCAGTTAAAGGGAGGTAAATGAATTTGAATTTATTTATTATGAGAATTATCATGTTTGATCAATATAATATACCTTGAGTATACAAGTTGTGATGAAATGTTTTAGTTTATGACATCATGTGTTCATGTATTTCATTAAGATTGAAAGTGTCATTCAATATTGTGCATTAATAAGGTATAAATTGAAAATTTCAGGTGATAAAAGCTTAAATGACCCTTTTTAGAGAAGTAGAAGTGACCTGATGACACGTTTCAAATTTTAAATTCATTATTTGTATTAGTTTTTATCATCAATGTACTTCAGATGGGTACCTATGCTCAAACCCTTTAGTTCTGTCAAATTATAGTATTTCTAGGTTGTATTATGTATGTTTTTATGGCAATATATCTTTCATCTTTAAGTTGGGGATTATTTTTAAAGAATATGTGTTTATAGATATACGGCATAACACTGTATATGGGTTTAGAGGTTGTATGATTTTTGCAAGTACATGTACATGTTTTCCATTTATCTGTGACAGTTGCATTTTAGAAGAAGTTTCTGAATTCATTCAGTTAAGAACTATGATAGAACACTGTATTACATTGCTCCTGTTTGTATTGGAACTTTAAGGTCTGGTTGTGAAACTCCCTCTACTCCAGTCAGTTTTCTCTTGACCTATTTCATTCCAATTTTCTCTGATATTCACTTACCAATTTTGTAAAATCAAAAGGGTGCAGTGCATTAATTCCTTAGGCCGGGGTGCTTCTGCCTTCTGGAAAATCTGTTTTTATTTGGGGAAAGAAATTTAATTTTATATCATAACCATGGTATTTGGACAATATTTTAAGTTGACATTTTGAATCTGTATTGAGTATTTGTGTACATACATCAATCAATGCACAATGCTCCTTAATGGTTGCAGTTTTACTGAAGTGGAATTGATGTTGACTTTTTTTTCCTGCACATATCAAATCATTATTTACAAGGATTTACATTTACCATTGCTTCATTTTTGTTCATTTACATTTGAACTAATGTAAAATTTTGAGCTTGAAGCAGAAAAGTAAGCCAAAAAAAAAGCAATTTTACTAATATGAATTTGCTTCTTCAACAATACAAACTCTGAATTTTTTTCTGACATTTTTAAAATTTTTGTTTTCCTGTGATTTGTGTAATATGGTGCTTTTTTTTGCCATTATGTTATCATGTCATACATAGAGCATTGGAGGTTGTATTCTTTGTTTATAGTGGCACATTGAAGAATGAGTGGTTCACATTTCTTGATTTGTTGATTACTTTCAGACTTCAGTTTACCTGACAGACAACTAGAAAACAAATATTTGTCATGTGACATTTGGTGTGTGAATTATGTAAACGACACTTTAATATTTTTCTGAATGTGTAAATATTTAAATTTTATGTGAGAATCATTATATCATAATTAAAATTGCTACTGTCCAAATGATGAGTAGTGTAACAGATAAATTCTTCAGCTTAAAATTTTCTCATTTTTATCTTTATTATATACATGTATGTTTATTTCGCAATCCAGTTGCTCTGCTCAAATTAGAATGATGCAATGTAATCCAGAATGCTATAAACATTAGAAAAATGCTAAATTAAAGTTAAACATTCAGTAATCTAGTGCATTATACAATCTGTTAAGGTTCATAAACCCTGTGCTCAGTCATATAAAATGTTTCGTGAATCTTAATGATTTTCCAAAAGAAATGTATTTTATAAGTAAAATACAAACAACTATAGCATAGACTGCAGGGCAAAATTGGACAAAAAAGACACCTCAACTTAGCAAATATGTAAAGGAATAATATACATTTATGTCATTAAGAGTTATCCCTCTTATCAGAGTATCAATGTACCTTAAACATGTAAAATTGAGTCTCTTTTTAAATTGTAAAAATCCTATTCTAGATTTTGAATGAAACAAAATCTTAAGAATTTTATTTGTCCAGGATGGTTTATTTACTGTAGCTGTACAAAACTTTGTGTGAATATTTTGTTGCAACATTCTTAAAAAATTCTGTGATAATAAACTCAATTGAAATATTTTATGACTTGTCATTATACATGTGCACCCTTACTACTGCATTTTTACATCAAACATCAGTCCTTGAATAAATCATACCTGAGTCATTTTAATTGTAAGGGAACAAATTATTCATTGAAAACCAGAAGTCTCTGGTGAGACTGTAGCTCTACTGGTCTGTACGTATATCTGTACGTATAATAGAGGAAAAGTAGCACTTGGATTTGAAACTTGCAACAGGCATCAATAAAGAGCATTATGTATCTTAATGTTGTCTACTTGTATGGAAAATTATATTGAAATCAGACCAAAGTTTTAGAAGTGGTAGCATTTTAAAGAATTTTCAAATAAAATTCTATTTTTAGTAACCATGGCAACGCCGTTCATCGAAATAAAAAACTGAAGCACTAAATTGTGTTTCTTAGTGTAGGCTCCCTGTATGCCGAGTTATATTGAAATCAGACCAAAACTTTAGGATGGGTAACATTTTATAGGAGTTTCACAGAACTTTCTATTTTTAGTAACCATGGCAATGTATAAGGACCAAAACTGTAGGAGGAGTAGCATTTTTGAAAAAAAAAATGATTACAGACGGATGACGGATACCTTGCTATCGCATAAGCTTTTCTGATCTCTGACCAGTAAAGCTAAAAAGACAAAAACGCGCCGACCCAGAGGGGGGGAGGAGGGGTCGAGGGGGCACTTTAAGAAGGGTGGAAGGAGCATAAGATCGATTGATGGTATGACATTAATTGAAAAAACTCAGCAGCTTCTTGATATTTTGCCCGGAAATCAAAGTTTTGCACACACATGCAGGAAATGTATGAATTTACGACCTTGACCTTTCAGGACTTTGACATTTTGGCCTCAAAATATATACGGGTCTTCCTTAGACCATAGAGAGTTGTAGTATAAAGTCTCATTGCAAAAGCTCAGGCGCTTCTCAGACATCTCACGGAAACGTGTTAAGACGGACCAAATATTTGACTTTATGACCTTAATCTTTGACCTTTTGACCTCATAATTAATAGGGGTCTTCCTTGGGCCAAAGGGAGTAATATTGTGTAAAATTCTATTGCAAATGCTCTAAGGGTTCTCGAGATATTGCGTGGAAACGAGGCGTTACAGAAGACAGAACTAAAGACAGACAGACGGACCGAAATTGACATCACCTACTTTTAGTGGGGGGACAAAAAGATGGAGCTTGACATCCGAACAGTTTAAATGTTTAAAGTTTCAGTGAAGTAGAAGGAAGTATATCGAAGGGTCATGGGCCACAATGCTCACCTGAATCAATATGACCCTAAGTATACTATTCTTCATCATCAGATTTTTTCTCCGTTATATTTACCTTTGCCCTATTGTAGCCCCATCCTACCGCCAGGCCTGAGGACCATAACTGAGAACAGACTCAAGTCAAAAGTTGATTTTGAATAGCTTGTTATGGCTTAAGTCTTTTCTCAGTTTATGGTCTTGGGATTAGTAGTAATGAGTTTGAAAAAAAATGAATCTAAACTGTCTGAGGAGGCTCAACATTCATATGACTACACATGGCTGATGTGTTCTTGCGAAGGTTTTTAATCATGACTTGAATCCACACTACTCGAGTGTATGCTGTATGCAAACTTATATAATAAAATAAAATAAATATGATTATAATAATGTAAACATAAAGGAATGGATAAAGAGTCTTGCTTATGTTTTTAAAAAAGTAAACTTACTCATATTTTATATGAGCAAACGTCTTAGCAATTTCAAAAATTAAATATTTATGTACATTTCACTTGTATATTGCTTTTCTACCAGGTATAGTTAAAACATAAAGCTGTAGAGGGTACCAGAGGCACCTCAGCTTATTCCCTACTATTTTGCTGCCCAAAAAGATATTTTCCTTTAAAATGGAACATTGGAGATGGATCAATTTTGTAAACTATTTAGTGGATTATGCAATCGTACAGGTGTTTTCATCCTCGCAAGCCAGGGGTCTTGAGTCAACACGTTGAGCACTGTCCAACGGCGAGGATTGGGTGTTTTAAGTCTCAGTAACTTGGATTACTAATTGATAATTATTGATCGTGTGAGATATCCAAGTTCAAGTTATGTGTAATATATATGTTAAGCATGATTTTCCATAAGAAAGATGTACAAGCTCGAATCCACTCAGAAAAAAATTCCCAGAATAACGATTGTTCGTCTTGAGATGTATTTTGTTCTACTGGAAATCTCATTCTACTGTACGGAATATCCAAAATTCCCAGTATGATTTCGACGCATTTTAAGAGGCATGATTATGTATGTCATCACAAATAGGATAAATGAGAAGCATCATATCGACTAAAACAAAATTTACCATTCACAAAGCAATTTCACAAGGACACTAAGCATTCAAGGAAAGCGCAAGATACAGTAGAGTGAACATAATATCGCAACATGGGAATGAATGTGTAAGATAAATTCATATGATTTTACTGACAATAATAACAATGGTAAAAATAATGGATAAATATTGAAATGTTTGACAATAATAACAATGGTAAAAATAATGGATAAATATTGAAATGTTTACCAGTAAAACAAGTGTTTTGAGCATGCTAAAGCTGCAAATGACCCAAAGAATTTTCATTCACGTTGCATACAATTACTGTTGAACTCATTCTATCTAATAAAAAAAAATAATTGCTATCAGAGGAAAAATTAAAGATAATACCGTCAGTAAGTAAAATTAAAGCATTTCCCCTAATAATTTGTTGTTTGATCAATTTATCATTGAAAAATTATTTATCAAAATAATTGATGAATAACTTCTCATTTCCCAAATGCACACTTTGTACTGCAAATACGAAAAGATCGACCTCTCCTGTAGCCGATAACAATTTATCCAAGAACTAGTGTTTTCAGTTTTGCTATTTAAAAGGTTTCCTCACAAATATAAGGTATGATGCCAGTCATTCATCACCCCCTCCCCCCCCCCCCCCCCAGTTCTAGGGATCCGCTACATAACTGAAATTGCAATTTTAACAATATTTGTCGATTTTATCTTTTGAGACATTTTCGAGGCAGTCCACCGAAAAACCAGGCAGTTTTGTATTAATGGGCGTCACATCGAAGGTGAAGGTGAGGACTATTTGAAATTTTATTGAAACCAATATCAATGTACTAGTAGTCCAAATGGAATATTAAATGTAAATGAACATGTTAACGAAGAGTTACAAAATTAGATATTCGAGAAACGTAGGTCTAAAAACAGTGTTGTCATTGTTTCGTGAATTTTCATACTCTCAAAATGAAAATACGGAGAACTCATTAGGCCTATGAGAAGGAATATGGTTCTTTAAGAGTACTTATCTCAATACTCATTTAAGAGTATTTATCATTTATTTTAATACTTATTAATAATATAAAATATTTTGTAAAAAAAGAATATGAGTATATGAACTATAGTAGCCAATGCTACATGCATTAACACATGAAAGTTGAAGAAATCCCGTTTTTGTGGAAATGATAGTATAAAATAAGTTAAGTTAGTAAGCAGAGGCAAAATTTATTTCTTTACGTTTTTACTTCGGTATTCTCAGTGAAACTTCGTATCTTAAGAAACTGGTTTTTCATGCACGAGCGCTTTAGCGCTCACTATAAATACAATTACTGGGGTATGTTCGATTTATGCGACGTTCGTTACAAAGAATCGTAGATTGTTCTGTGTCTCTGGCTTTCCCTGGCCTCCCAGCCCTTGCATTGTTTATCTTGTAAAATTTATGAGTTTGATTTGTATGTTTTGAATAAAAATGGGGGGGGGGGGTGAAAAACAAATAAATAAAAAGGTATGAAAAGGTTTTTTTTTTTAAGTGTAGTTGAAATAAATTTCATTAATTGATAAGTTTTGATGTTTTTTGATAGAATGTAATGAATGTTAAACATGCAGCAATTTACAAATGGATGTAATTTTTGTCATGCTACCGGAAACACTCATTTTTCATTTGGTTCATTTGGCCCTCCAAGAAAAAAAATCCAAAATAAATTAAATTTTATTATAACAATTGATTTATTTAAATTCAGTATAGATTTCATAATTATCAAGGCCAGAAATGATGTATTATTTTTTAAAAGTAATTTGAATACACTTCCGGTTTTACGAGCTCGTGCAAACCGTGAGTAAAGTTCGTGTAAAGGCGGGCAGTCCGATTTCAGACGGTTCATCGACTCTACAGATTAGAAGATGCACATTACTCATAAAACGAAGGAATTTTTGTGAGTATGTTTGTTATAAATCGTTGATTTGTATGAAATGTATAATTCTAGGAAACTCTGATATCGAGGGGTTTAGCGGTAAAGTTAGACGAACAATCATAATTCATGACCAAATAGGTTATAGCCATATTTGAAGAACCCATTCCTATAAATAGATAATTTCTATCAGATAATTTTAGGTCAAAATGCTGTTGGATCTTTAATAAGTGCTGTACATATCAAACACGTTTCGACTTTTCTCTTTCTGTGTTTTTAAAAAAAAATCCCCTTGCAATATACCAGTCGTATTAACCTGAGGGACAATTAAGAGATCCATATTTTTTTTCTTAGAAGCGTGAGGGGGGTGTTTGAATAAATCAGATTCATGATCTTTTAAAAAAGAGAAATAAAAAAAAATCTGTCTTCTTACTCCTTTGTTTCTCTTCACAATGACTCCAAACAGGGAGTGGGGAGAAGGAGAAGGGGGTTAAATTCAGTTATCTACTTGATATACTGAAGGAATCACTGTCTAGTTAGTATAGTATGCCAGGGCATCAATAATAGTGAGAAATTTGGGATAATTTGCATAACAGTTGAAGCCAGCTATGCATAAATTATCCCACTTTTACCAGTATCATTGATGTCCATGGCATACTATACTGAGACAGTGATTCCTATATTTCCATTTCTTTGTGAAATAAAATTGTAGATTTAGATTTTAAAAGTGTAGAATAACAGGTCCAGCACAATACCCTGATAAAGGGTATATAGCTTGATAAAGCTATATAGCTTGATCAAGGTCTTACTTTTCATGCACGAGTGGACACAGTGATACTGACCACAACTCATAAGACAGTCGCATGGATTTACATGCAAATCTGGCCTCATTAGCTTTAGACACAAAGAAAACTCGCATGAGATTTGAGATAAATTCTGGTAGAATTATGAAGAAATCAACACCACCAACTTTCAAATAGTTATCACAGAGAAATTAAATAGAAATGGAAATATTTACTGAAAATATTAGGACTTTGTTATTAACTTTCTGACCATCCATACTACTTGTAGTATATTTGGCTTCATTAAAATAACTATAAGATAAATAATTGTACCATATGACATGTTTACATGAATTGGCTTTTGCATTTGAGAATGGTTCGAGTTCCACATTTAAATAGTTTTATCTCCTCTAAGCTTCCAACCTTCCATCTGTCAAATTTTGCATTTAGCCTCGTTTCTTGCATTTAGCCCAGTTTCAAAGACACTGTTCTTGAGAATTAAGATTTTAATCAAGATTCAAATTATGAATTCAAATTTATGTCGGTATATTTAATCTGGCATCCTTTACTTGAATTTTCATGTGGCATAGACTTTAATTACTCTTCTTTATTTTGTGTTGAGCTCAGTATGAAAATAATTATTTAAAATTTTGTTATGATAAACTTTTGATTATAATCAGACCAGCTCACTCATACATATTGCCAATAAGGGATCGACATTAACGGTAGTTTGATGGCCCGGGACAAGTAATTTTTAGTCCGGGCAAGTGAAACTATCGATGTACTGATATATTTGTTAGAAACACTTTAAAATTCAACATTAATTTATAAACAATAAACACAATAAATTGAACACTTGATTTCCACCAATTTTGCATTTGGAATCCCTCGGTACCGTTTCTGGAGCATACCCTCTTTAAGAAATCGGGTTTGTTATTCTGTTTTCTTTCGTAGTTTACAAAAATATGCTCTCCATCTGACAACTTACATTACATTCCTATTGTGACAGGTTATTTATTCACTACAGATTCTGAATATAAAGAACACAATGCACATATTCTCGGTGCACGATGTATCTTGATTCAGAACATGGCAACTATTTTCTTTTTAGCGAGGGTGAAAAGTTAAATTTCGGGAAAAAATTCGTAGGAAAATAATATTCCTGTATTGCTGTGTGTGTTCTCAGGATAGAAAATGACAAAGGAAAGTAGTAAACATATGTTTACAAAAAATTAAATGTAGCATCATTTCAATATCAACATAATCCCTGGCAATTAAGTTCAAAAAAGATATAATTTGTCACTGAAAGTTCATATTTACAACAAATTAAGATACAGTTACTGAATTTTCTTCTTTAAAAATTTTGGGCAATCAAGTTTTACTTTCGGACAAGTCAAAATTGTAGGTCACTTGGCTGAAGGACAAGTGAATATAAAGGTTTTAATGTCTATCCCTGATTTCTGGGAACTTTTCAACAAATTGTCATTATTTTCTGAGCTATGACCTTTTCCTTTATCTTAGCCTTACTATTCACCACTTTATTACAATTTGTCACAAATATTTGACATTGCCATTCATTATAGAGTTCACCCCACTTTTCACCATTTTGAATTTAACTGATTTTCAAAGAAACTGTTACTTCAAACTTAAAAAAAGATACATCTTTACAAGAATTACTTGTATATTCAACTTTGTCTCTATTGTCTTATCTTGACCTCACTATTATTTTTTTAAGATGAGGATCTATTTCAGGATATTGTTCTCACATACAATATATATGTTAACTCTACCGATTTAGGCGGGAGTCTACCGCTTTTTCACTCCATCTCCCACCTACTGATTTTATTCATAAATCTACCACTTTTCTACAAAAGTCTTGTCTAAAGTATTTTAGGTTCGCTTGGGTATCCATTTTTAAGTCATCTGAGTAAACTCAGGTGACCTATTGCTATCCGTTTTCGTCCGTCATCATCCGTTGTGCGTTAACATTTGAACATTTTCAACTTCTTCTCTGAAACTGCAGAACCAATTTCAACCAATTTTGGCATATAGCATCTATGGGTGAAGAGGAATAAAGATTGTGAATTTCATGGTCAATGCCCCCTGGGGCCTGGGGGCATGACCAAAACCGTTAGAATTATAGTACAATCTTTAAAAATCTTCTTCTTTACTCCTGGACATCAAGCAGTCAAACTGTTGGTATGATTGTAATCAGCATCTACCAAAATTGTGAAATTCATGGCCCCAGGGTCAGGAATTCTAGTGCTAGGGAGGGGCTTAATAGATTATATAATGAAAATGCAAAATTTCTTTGAAGTTCTTCTTTTCTGCTCCTGGGCATTAAATAAACTAAACAAGTGCATAGTTAAGTTGAATATAGCTGCCTCTTCCAAAATTGTGAATCTCATGGCCCCACCGGTTAGGGGTTCTAGTGCTAGGGTGGGGCTATATAGATTATATAGTGAAAATACATAAATTCTTTGAAATTCTTTTTCTCTGATCATGGGCATTAATTAAACAAACCAAGTGCATAGGTATGTTGAATAAGACTGCATGCCTCTTCTAAAATTGTGAATTTCATGGCCCTATTGTCCGGTGTTCTAGTGCTAGGGTGGGGCTATACATATAGATTATATAATATATAGTGAAAATGCATAAATTCTTTAAAATTCTTCTTCTCTGTTCATGGGCATTAAGTAAACTAACCAAGTGTATAGTTATGTTGAATAAGGCTGCCTCTTTCAAAATTGTGAATTACATGGCCCCAGGATCAGGGATTCTAGTGCTAGGGTGGGTCTATAAAGATTATATAGTGAAAATGAATTATTTCTTTGAAAATCGTCTTTTCTATGACGGGGTATCAAAATGATTAATTATGTACATAGTTATGAGGAGGAATGATGCCTCTTTGAGATTTTGAATCTCAGGGCCCCTGGGTCAAGACTTCTTGTGTTAGGGCGGGGCTCTAATGTTTATACATGTATAATGAAAATGCGTGAATTCTTTAAAAATATTTTCAATTGCTCCTGGGTATTATGCCAATGATTTAAGTACATATTTATGATGAAGAAAGCTGCCTTTTCCAAAATGGTTAATTTTTGGGCCCCTGGATCAGAGGTACTTGAAAAGGTGGGGGGGGGGGGGTACATAGCTGAGCTGAAGGGTAAAGTGAACATAATTCTCTGTTCGGGAAGAGTCTGGGTGTGTGTTTGTCATTAGTTGTCCGTAATTATTTTACGTTTTCAAATTATTCACAACCATCCCCTACCCCTTAACATATTTTTTGTTGTCATTTCATTAAATTTCTGTGCTTTGTTTCATTGTTTTGAATTTGTACTAATCTCGTCTCAGTTGTATATTTTCAGGCACTCGGACGTGGTACAACGCGGGAGCACCCAGCCAGCCAGCCACAGATGAAGAGGAAGGAGCCCATTGCCCAGTTTTGTCCAGAGGCCCACATTGGCCAAGGCGGTGAGTAACGGGCTGCTTTTGTAGCACTGCTGGATCCCTGTTTTGCATTATAACTTGATCAGAGCAGTTAGGGTTCATCTTTTTGACTTCCTGTTTTTCTGTGTTTTCAGGAGCGTCGATCCCACCGAGACGTACAGCAGCATTCTGGGGAGCCAGGATCGACTGCAACCGCACATGAAAGAGAGGGTGAGATTCATGTCCAACCTGAATCTACTGTGTTGATTTATATTTTCCGTATCTCACTTGATGAAGATTATGATCTCTCTTGATGTCTTGTTTTTCTATTGTAGATATGCAGTGTGATGCACCATCTATTCCCGGTCCTTTGAAGAGGAGTCTGCCAACCCAAGGACGGTAAGATACTTTGTGCAGGCCTTGCACTCTGTGAATTTTCTTCATTTTGACTCTTTGGTCTTGGCACTTTTTTTTCTACTCCATCTTTGGTGTTAACAGGTCAGCGTTAGGCTGTTGTGGATTCCCAGAAATAATTGTGGACTACGGCCTGCCAGAAGAAGTGCAAAGAGTTCAGGGACGTAGTGCAGCCAACTCCAGCATTGAAGGTAGGAGAATGCGCAATCGGTGTACACCTTGAATTCTGTGGACTTTTGTTACTTCTTCCTTGTTGTGGGAGTGTTGCTTGGGGTTTGACCTGTGGAAATCTTTGTTAACAGGTACGGGGTTGGACTGGTCTGGTTGCGTGGAAGAAAAGCAGATTGTCACCAGTAGGCAGCAGTTCTGTGATGCACTGCGGTCAATCCCTGACGTGCAGGTAAGACGCAGTATTCACAACTTGTAGTGTGTCCAATTTCATTACTGCGTGTTTGTGTTTCATGTAAAAGGTATCTTAACTTTGCTCTTTGCAATTTTGTTAACTGTAGGAAGTTGTTTTGATGTCTTGATTTTGCTTTGTTAGCAGATGAGGAGGTGTATGCTGACCCGGAAGGATGATTCCAACAGCAGTCAAGAAGAGAAGAGGAGGTAAGATATCTGCACTGTACCTCATGCAGCCTTTCATGATCTTTACCTTGCCAAATGATGTTGAACGTGTCTACACTTGACCTCTTGACTTCCAATTGACAGGATGCGCAGCAAGCAACAGAGCCCACCCGAGCCAAGACCCGCCCCACCCAGTCCGCCGCAGCCCAACCTAGCAGAGGATCCAGCGCATCCCAACCCAGCCCAACAGATATCCAATTCCGATACCAGGAAGCCTAACAGGGAAGCATTTTGAATTTATTTCTTTCCTTCTGTCTCTTCTCCGTCTTCTGAGCACTTCCCTTATCTAACAGAACTAACCATCCCCTACCCCTTAACATATTTTTTGTTGTCATTTCATTAAATTTCTGTGCTTTGTTTCATTGTTTTGAATTTGTACTAATCTCGTCTCAGTTGTATATTTTCAGGCACTCGGACGTGGTACAACGCGGGAGCACCCAGCCAGCCAGCCTCCAGCCAGCCAGCCACAGATGAAGAGGAAGGAGCCCATTTGCCTAGTTTTGTCCAGAGGCCCACATTGGCCAAGGCGGTGAGTAACGGGCTGCTTTTGTAGCACTGCTGGATCCCTGTTTTGCATTATAACTTGATCAGAGCAGTTAGGGTTCATCTTTTTGACTTCCTGTTTTTCTGTGTTTTCAGGAGCGTCGGGAGGATCCCACCGAGACGTACAGCAGCATTCTGGGGAGCCAGGATCGACTGCAGCCCAGCCACAGGCAGAGCCAGCCCATGAGGAGAGTGAGATTCATGTCAGAGAAGCTGAATTTACTGTGTTGATTTATATTTTCCGACATCTCACTTGATGAAGATTATGATCTCTCTTGCTTACATTTGCCAAGGCGGTGTAAAGGGCTGCTTTTGTAGCACATCTATCCCTGTTTTGCATTATAACTTGATCAGAGCAGCTATTGCTTTTCTTTTGACCTCCTGATTTTGTTTTCAGGAGCGTGATCCCACCGAGAGGTTCAGCAGCATTCTGGGGAGCAAGATTGCACCGCACATGGAAGAGAGGGTGTGACCTGAATTTACGGTGTTGATTTATCTTTTCCTCATCTCTTGATTATGATCTCTTGATGTCTTGTCTTTCTTGTAGATATGCAGTGTGATGCACCATCTATTCCCAGTCCTTTGAAGAGGAGTCTGCCAACCCAAGGACGGTAAGATACTTTGTGCAGGCCTTGCACTCTGTGAAATTTCTTCATTTTGACTCTTTGGTCTTGGCACACTTTTTTCTACTCCATCTTTGGTGTTAACAGGTCAGGGTTAGGCTGTTGTGGATTCCCAGAAATAATTGTGGACTACGGCCTGCCAGAAGAAGTGCAAAGAGTTCAGGGACGTAGTGCAGCCAACTCCAGCATTGAAGGTAGGAGAATGCGCAATCGGTGTACACCTTGAATTCTGTGGACTTTTGTTACTTCTTCCTTGTTGTGGGAGTGTTGCTTGGGGTTTGACCTGTGGAAATCTTTGTTAACAGGTACGGGGTTGGACTGGTCTGGTTGCGTGGAAGAAAAGCAGATTGTCACCAGTAGGCAGCAGTTCTGTGATGCACTGCGGTCAATCCCTGACGTGCAGGTAAGACGCAGTATTCACAACTTGTAGTGTGTCCAATTTCATTACTGCGTGTTTGTGTTTCATGTAAAAGGTATCTTAACTTTGCTCTTTGCAATTTTGTTAACTGTAGGAAGTTGTTTTGATGTCTTGATTTTGCTTTGTTAGCAGATGAGGAGGTGTATGCTGACCCGGAAGGATGATTCCAACAGCAGTCAAGAAGAGAAGAGGAGGTAAGATATCTGCACTGTACCTCATGCAGCCTTTCATGATCTTTACCTTGCCAAATGATGTTGACCGTGTCAACACTTGACCTCTTGACTTCCAATTGACAGGATGCGCTGCAAGCAACAGAGCCCACCCAAGCCCAGCCCAGCCCAGCCAAGCCCAGCCCACCGCAGCCCAACCTAGCAGAGGATCCAGCACATCCCAACCCAGCCCAACAGATATCCAATTCCGATACCAGGAAGCCTAACAGAGAAGCATTTTGAATTTATTTCTTTCCTTCTGTCTCTTCTCTGTCTTCTGAGCACTTCCCTTATCTAACAGAACTAACCATCCCCTACCCCTTAATATATTTTTTGTTGTCATTTCATTAAATTTCTGTGCTTTGTTTCATTGTTTTGAATTTGTACTAATCTCGTCTCAGTTGTATATTTTCAGGCACTCGGACGTGGTACAACGCGGGAGCACCCAGCCAGCCAGCCTCCAGCCAGCCAGCCACAGCCAGCCACAGATGAAGAGGAAGGAGCCCATTTGCCTAGTTTTGTCCAGAGGCCCACATTGGCCAAGGCGGTGAGTAACGGGCTGCTTTTGTAGCACTGCTGGATCCCTGTTTTGCATTATAACTTGATCAGAGCAGTTAGGGTTCATCTTTTTGACTTCCTGTTTTTCTGTGTTTTCAGGAGCGTCGATCCCACCGAGACGTACAGCAGCATTCTGGGGAGCCAGGATCGACTGCAACCGCACATGAAAGAGAGGGTGAGATTCATGTCCAACCTGAATCTACTGTGTTGATTTACATTTTCCGCATGTCACTTGATGAAGATTATGATCTCTCTTGATGTCTTGTTTTTCTATTGTAGATATGCAGTGTGATGCACCATCTATTCCCGGTCCTTTGAAGAGGAGTCTGCCAACCCAAGGACGGTAAGATACTTTGTGCAGGCCTTGCACTCTGTGAATTTTCTTCATTTTGACTCTTTGGTCTTGGCACTTTTTTTTCTACTCCATCTTTGGTGTTAACAGGTCAGGGTTAGGCTGTTGTGGATTCCCAGAAATAATTGTGGACTACGGCCTGCCAGAAGAAGTGCAAAGAGTTCAGGGACGTAGTGCAGCCAACTCCAGCATTGAAGGTAGGAGAATGCGCAATCGGTGTACACCTTGAATTCTGTGGACTTTTGTTACTTCTTCCTTGTTGTGGGAGTGTTGCTTGGGGTTTGACCTGTGGAAATCTTTGTTAACAGGTACGGGGTTGGACTGGTCTGGTTGCGTGGAAGAAAAGCAGATTGTCACCAGTAGGCAGCAGTTCTGTGATGCACTGCGGTCAATCCCTGACGTGCAGGTAAGACGCAGTATTCACAACTTGTAGTGTGTCCAATTTCATTACTGCGTGTTTGTGTTTCATGTAAAAGGTATCTTAACTTTGCTCTTTGCAATTTTGTTAACTGTAGGAAGTTGTTTTGATGTCTTGATTTTGCTTTGTTAGCAGATGAGGAGGTGTATGCTGACCCGGAAGGATGATTCCAACAGCAGTCAAGAAGAGAAGAGGAGGTAAGATATCTGCACTGTACCTCATGCAGCCTTTCATGATCTTTACCTTGCCAAATGATGTTGACCGTGTCAACACTTGACCTCTTGACTTCCAATTGACAGGATGCGCAGCAAGCAACAGAGCCCACCCGAGCCAAGACCCGCCCCACCCAGTCCGCCGCAGCCCAACCTAGCAGAGGATCCAGCGCATCCCAACCCAGCCCAACAGATATCCAATTCCGCTACAAGAAAGCCTAACAGGGAAGCATTTTGAATTTATCTCTTTCCTTCTGTCTCTTCTCCGTCTTCTGAGCACTTCCCTTATCTAACAGAACTAACCATCCCCTACCCCTTAACATATTTTTTGTTGTCATTTCATTAAATTTCTGTGCTTTGTTTCATTGTTTTGAATTTGTACTAATCTCGTCTCAGTTGTATATTTTCAGGCACTCGGACGTGGTACAACGCGGGAGAGCACCCAGCCAGCCAGCCACAGATGAAGGGGAAGGAGCCCATTGCCCAGTTTTGTCCAGAGGCCCACATTGGCCAAGGCGGTGAGTAACGGGCTGCTTTTGTAGCACTGCTGGATCCCTGTTTTGCATTATAACTTGATCAGAGCAGGTAGGGTTCATCTTTTTGACCTCCAGTTATTCTGTGTTTTCAGGAGCGTTGATCCCATCGAGACGTACAACAGCATTCTGGGGAGCCATGATCGACTGCAACCGCACATGAAAGAGAGGGTAAAATTCATGTCCAACCTGAATTTACTGTGTTGATTTATATTTTCCGCATCTCACTTGATGAAGATTATGATCTCTCTTGATGTCTTGTTTTTCTATTGTAGATATGCAGTGTGATACACCATCTATTCCCAGTCCTTTGAAGAGGAATCTGCCAACCCATGGACGGTAAGATACTTTGTGCAGGCCTTGCACTCTGAATTTTCTTCATTTTGACTCTTTGGTCTTGGCACTTTTTTTTCTACTCCATCTTTGGTGTTAACAGGTCAGCGTTAGGCTGTTGTGGATTCCCAGATGATTAGCGGACTGCAGCCTGCCAGAGGAAGTATGCAGAGTTCAGGGACGTACTGCGGCCAACTCCGGCGTTGAAGGTAAGCCGATGCGCAATCGGTGTACACGCTTTATTCTGTGGAGTTTGTTACCCCTTCCTTGTTTTGGGAGTGTTTCTTGTGGTTTGACCTGTGGACATCTTTGTTAACAGGTACGGGGTTGGACTGGCCTGGTTGCGTGGAAGAAGATCAGACCGTCACCAGTAGCAGCAGTTCTGTCATGCACTGCGGTCAATCCCTGACGTGCAGGTAAGATGCAGCACATCTTGCAGTGTGTCCACTATCTTTACAATGTGTTTGTGATGTAAAAGGTATCATAACTTTGCTCTTTGCAATTTTGTTAACTGTAAGAAGTTGTTTTGATGTCTTGATTTTGCTTTGTTAGCAGAAGAGAGGAGATGTATGCTGACCCGAGAGGATCCCAGCAGCAGTCAAAAAGAGAAGAGGAGGTAAGATTCACACTACATCTTGCAGCCTTTTGTGATCTTGACCTTGCCAAATGATGTTGACCGTATCAGCATTTGACCTCTTGACTTGCAATTGACAGGATGCGCAGCAAGCAGCAGAGCCCAGCCCAGCCCAGCCCAGCCCTTCGCAGCCCAGCCCAGGATCCAGCGCAGCCCACACCAGCCAGCCCATCCCCCCAGAGGATCCAGTGCCGCTACCAGGCAGCCTAACAGAGAAGCATTTTGAATTTATTTCTTTCCTTCTGTCTCCTCTCTATCTTCTTAGCACTTTCCTAATCTAACACAACTAACCATCCCCTACCCCTTAACATTGATTTTGTTGTAATTTCCTTGAATTTGTGTGCTTTGTTTCATTGTTTTGAATTTTCACTAATCTCGTCTCAGTTGTATATTTTCAGGCACTCGGACGTGGTACAACGCGGGAACGCCCAGCCAGCCGCCACCAAGTCAGCCACCACCCAGCCAGCCACAGATGAAGAGGAAGGAGCCCATTGTCCAAGCTTTGTCTAGCAGCTTACATTTGCCAAGGCGGTGAGTAAAGGACTGCTTTTGTAGCACTTCTGGATCCCTGTTTTGCATTATAACTTGATCAGAGCAGCTATTGTTCTTCTTTTGACCTCCTGATTTTCCGTCTTTTCAGGAGCGTCGATCCCACCGAGACGTTCAGCAGTATTCTTGGGAGCAAGAATCGACTGCGACCACACAGCCCTCAAGAAGAGAGGATGAGGTAAGATTCACACTGTACATCTTTCAGCTTTTTGTGATCTTTACCTTTCCAAATGATGTTTATGTATCAGCATTTGACCTCTTGACAGAATGTGCAAGGAGCAGTAGAGCTTACCTGAGCCCAGCCCAGCCCACTGCATCTCAGCCCAGCCCAGCAGAGGATCCAGTGGTCTAACACCTCTAACTAACCACTTTAACAAACTTCCAACAAATAACTCTTAGAAACTTCCAACAAATAACCCTAACAAACTTCCAACAAGTAACTTTAACAAACTTCCATTAAATAACTGTAACAAACTTCCAACAAATAACTCTAACAAACTTCCAACAAATAACTAACAAACTTCCAACAAATCATCCTAACAAACTTCCAACAAATCATCGTAACCAACCAGTAACAAATCATCCTAACAAACTAAAACTACTAACAGTCTGCTAAATGTTGTGTGACGCGTCTAGTGTGTTGGTGTTAGTGTCTGTGTGCTTGTCACCTCTCGCTTTCAGCCATCACCGCTGGCTAGCAGTAATGCGAAAAGGGAAGGAATTTTTATGTCTTCCCCTGCCAGTACATAGCCTCTCCACAACAAGTCCTATGCGATGCCTCCACGTGGAAGCAGACGGATACTGGGCAGATTTTGGTCCCAGGCTAAGTTCGCAAGGGCGCACAGGAAGATGAATCTTGATAGCCTCTACTGGTATCTGTCTAGGAGAGAAAACTGATCACAACCCCAATTAAGTAGGGGACCCAATTGATATAAGTGTTGGCTATTTATCCCTATTGAAATAGAAGTGAACCTTTGTCCATTGTCTGTCGTCATCTTCTTTGTTTTAAACTTTCACATTTATATCTTTAGAACTACTGGGCCAAAGTCAGACAAACTTGACACAGAGTATCTTTGCGTAAATGGGATTCAAGTTTATAAATGAAGGCCCATGCCCTCTTCAAAGGGGGGGGGGGATTATTACATAAGTGTAAATTAATGACATCATTTAAAAAAGATCTAAAGATTTAAAAATCTTTTCAAGAACCACTGAGACGGTAAATGTTACACTGATGTGAATTCATCCTTACTTAGTATAGATTTAAAGAACGAGGGCGCTTTTGATTGGCATTCGGCAGGAGTCTGGGCGTATTTGAAAAGTGAAAATTTTATTGACAATCCATATGAAATTTTAACATTTTTATTATTTATCGGGTTCCTGTGCAACAGGAACGGAATATATTTTCCCGAAATTGAGCTTCGATTTGCTAAAAAATAACTTGAAAATTGGCCAGATCAGACATTTGGTACAAAATGGTACATTTTTAAACACGTTTTTATAAAATTTCTCTATCTCTGGGTCTTCTCTCCATGATTTTGAAACGTTATTTTGTGTATTTTAATTCAAAGAAATGAATACACTTTTTTAAAAAAATGGAGAGAAGACCCAGAGACCACGAAAAATGAACTTTTCCCCAAAAAATCCAAATGTGTGAATGTGGTGCTTCTTTGTCCTTTTAAAATCATCTGTATATGTGTAGCGGTGATAGCTCAGTTAGTTGGGCTACCTGTTCAGTGCACTCAAAGAGAAAAGTTTTTGGTTCGAGTCTGGCATCGGACGTTAATTTTTTTTTTCATGCAAACAACCATCTATTTTGTCAGTTTCGTTTTATGTACTGATGTATTAAAATTTTGAATTAGATAAATTTTGGTTCAGTTTGGATCTCGAGCGAAATCAATTCTAATCATCTATTCTACAATGTACATGTACATGTATCATGCATCCATGCATTACATATTTTAAGTGTTTATTTTTTGTGAAACATTACTATGTTATAGTACCCCCTAGGAAAAACGGGCATAAATGTTACAATTTCACAAGGTCTTTCAAACTAAATGAAAAAAAACTTATGGACGTGTTTGTAAAATCTGACCAGCTATGTTTAGCAAACCAAATCATGGACATTTAAACCATAAATGTTTCGTACAAATGATTCTTGCAGATCACTCGCCAAATGCACCCATATCTTCTTTATTCAAATCAAGACCCCAGGGATAGAATGGGGCAACTATGGGGGATGAAAAATATACCTAGGAATTTATACGTAAAATCTTTATAAATTTCAAGAAAAACAAAGCCACAATGATATGGAATCATCCTTGAGTAGTGATTCAAGTTTGTTCAAATCATGACCCCCCAGGGGTACATGTAGGTTAGGGCCACAATAGATGATCAAAATTTTATGTTGGTCAATATATAGGAAAAATCCTCTCAAGAACATTCTTAGGTAGTGTAGTCATTTAAAGCTGATTTTTTGAGAAAAAAATTTTCTGCTTAAATGTGATCAATTTTTATGTAATTTAAACCCTTATGAATAATAAAACCAAAATGAAAATCAAATGTTTCGGAAGAAATATTTCTGTACAGTCGAACTTGTAGCGTAATATAAGAAAACAATAATGTACAAGATGACAAAAATGCCATTTTGCTTCAATTAAAGCTTTTTAAACAGCTCTTATTGCAAATATGGAATCATATTAATCAGTCTATAAATATTCTAATTTTCTGTCTTTGAGAAGTTGATTACAAATTTACAACAAAATTTTCCCATGTCAAAATTGCAGCTCATATTGCTTTAAAGACAGATGATACAAACTTGTATAAAAAAAATCCTAAAAATAGTCATAACCTAAAAAAAGCACAAAACTTTTAATGCTGCCTGCTTGAATTAACATGTTTGCATGTTTTTTTCAAGCAGAAGGTTCCAAGCCCTTAAAAGCAGAGGAGAAGTTTTGGTATTACATGTATATGACATTACTGAATGTATACATTGCCAAATTATGTAGACACAACTGATCATGAGCTTTTTTATCACCAGAAGATCTTAATTAATTAATTTAGTGTGTACAATGCAATAAATCAAATATTTTATTTATAATTCAGATATCTACAAATAATTACTATAGTCGCAGCTTTATGTCTAGAAATTCCCCACATCGACCCTTTTTATAGGTCACCTAAGTCACTCAGGTGACCTATTGCTATCTGTTTTCATCCGTCGTCGTTCGTTGTCAATCGGTTGTAAACTTTTGAACATTTTTAGCTTCTTCTCTGCAATCACTCAACCAATTTCAACCAAATTTTGCATAAAGCATTTATGGTGAAGGGGAACAAGAATTGTGAATTTCATGGTCCCTGCCCCCCTGGGTGGGGCCTGAGGGGTGGGTCCAAAACCACTAAAATTAATGCAATCTTTAAAAATCTTTTTCTTTACTCCTCGACATCAAGCAGTCAAACTGTTAGCATGAATGTTATGTCCATTGAGTCATCTACCAAAATTGTGAAATTCATGGCCCCATGGCCCCAGGGTCAGGGGTTCTAAGTGCTAGGGTGGGGCTCTATTGAATATATAGTGAAAATGCATTATTTCTTTAAAAATCTTCTCTGCTCCTGGGTATTACATAAACTAAATAAGTATATAATTATGATGGGGAAGAATACCTCTTCCAAAATTGGGAATTTTATGCCCAAGGGTCAGGGATTCTGGTCTAAGGGTGGGGCTCTTTTGATTACATATTGAAAATACATTAATTCTTTGAAAATCCTCTTCTCTGCTCCTGGGTATTTAGCAGATGAACTACTTAATAATATATAGTTATGATGAGCAAGGGCCATTCTTCCTGAATTGTGAATTTCAAGGCCCCTGGGTCAGGGGTACCATAGACTGATAGAGGGGGGTCTACTTATATACTGAAAATGAATTAATTGTATGAAATCTGCTCTTGGTATTAATCAAACATTTCTGATAAGCAAGGGTGCCTTATCCAAAATTGTGAAATGTGTGGACCAAGGGTCAGGGGTTCATGTGTGGTAGTGGCACTACTGATTATTGCTGAATATTACTGTTGAAATGCATTTTTTTGTTCCTCTACTCTGTCTGTGGGTATTATTGTAACCAAACTAAACATGCTAAGTGTATAGTTATGATTAGCAATGGTGCCTCTTTCAAAATTGTGAATGCCATGATGTCTAGTTTAAAACAAGAACCAAATTCAATTGTTGGAAAGTTGTTACATGATACTCAGTTGACCTATAAGGCCCATGGGCCTATTGTTCTCTAATGTAACCATTGAGACAATTATCTTTGAAGATATTCTAATGTAAATTTTTTTATTTAATAATATATTGTTAATTTTGCTCTAAGGTTTTTTATGCTGCTATTACAATTTTTCTCTAAAATTAAACAAATTTTAAAGTATGTATATTATTCAATATTAAATTAATATTTCTGGAATGTACAAATTCTGTCAGCAGTTGTACCAGTTATAATTTGTATAATTAGTAAATTCTGATTATTTACTAGTTGTGCACTTAAATGAATGTATTATATACTGATGTAACTAAATATACAATAAAAGTAATTAATTATACCCCCGCTCTAAAGGAGAGGTTATACCTCCGCTCTAAAGGAGAGGGGGGTATACTGTTTTACCCTTGTGTGTCTGTCTGTCTGTCTGTCCGTGTGTTCGTCCGAAACAAATTTTCGTCGCAGTTTTCTCAGCACCTACTCATCGCAGATGCTTGAAATTTTAACACAAACTTCTCTCAGGCATGCCATATGATGGGATACATTTTTGTTCAAATATGATGTCAACTTCCTGTTTGTCTGTGCGTCTGTCCATTTCATACATAACAAATTTTCGCCGCAGTTTTCTCAGCAACTACTCATCGCAGATGCTTGAAATTTTAACACAGTCTTCTCTAAGGTATGCCATATGGTGGGTTACATTTTTGCTCAAATCTGATGTCAACTAACTGTTTGTCTGTGTGTCTGTCTGTTTCATACATAACAAATTTTCGTCGCAGTTTTCTCAGCAACTACTCATCGTAGATACTTGAAATTATAACACAATCTTTTCTAAAACATGCCATATGGTAGGATACATTTTTGTTTAGATCCGATGTCAACTTCCTGTTTGTCTGTGCGTCTGTCCATTTCATACATAACAAAATTTTGTCGCAGTTTTCTCAGCAACTACTCATCGCAGATGCTTGAAATTATAACACAATCTTCTCTGAGGCATACCATAAGGTGGGATACATTTTTGTTCAAATCTGATGTCAACTTCCTGTTTGTCTGTGCGTCTGTCCATTTCATACACAACAAATTTTTGTCGCAGTTTTCTCAGCAACTACTCATCGCAGATGCTTGAAATTTTAACACAAACTTCTCTCAGGCATGCCATATGGTGGGATACATTTTTGTTCAAATCCGATATCAACTTCCTGTTTGTCTGTGTGTCTGTCCGTTTCATACATAACAAAATTTCCTCGCAGTTTTCTCAGCAACTACTCATTGTAGATGCTTGAAATTTTAACACAGTCTTCTCTAAGGTATGCCATATAAAGGGATACATTTTTACTCAAATCCGATATCAACTTCCTGCTTGTCTGTGCGTCTGTCTGTTTCATACATAACAAAATTTTGTCGCAGTTTTCTCAGCAACTACTCATCGCAGATGCTTGAAATTTTAACACAATCTTCTCTGAGGCATGCCATATGGTGGGATACATCTTTGTTTAGATCTGATATCAACTTCCTGTTTGTCTGTGTGTCTGTCCGTTTCATTCATACCAAAATTTTGTCGCAGTTTTCTCAGCAACTACTACATTTTTGTTCAAATCTGATGTCAACTTCCTGTTTGTCTGTGCATTTCATACATAACAAGTCTTCGTCACAGTTTTCTCATTAGCTATTCATAGCAGACGCTTGAAATTTTATTACACTCTGTGTTTTTGTATGCTATATGGTGGGATTAATTTTGATATGAATCTGATGTCAACTTCATATTTTTCTGTGCATCTGCCTGTAATTGAACTTGTGTATATTAACATGATATTGCTTATTTACGTCAGAGCGGGGGTATTACTAGTGAGCATTGGCTCACAGATTTCTTGTTTTTAATGTGATATGATTTATATTTTAAAAACAAGTAAAATTTTGATTTAAAAATGTTATTTTGAGATTTGTTAATGTTACACTGTGATTTGTTTATGTAAAATTATAAGTGAATGTGAAATGAAGAAAACAAATGAAAA